CCAAAACCAAAAAGTCGCCCGACTCTCATAAGACCTCAAAAGGGGCAAGGACATCAGGTACTTACTTGTGCGATCCCTGTACTTGTATGATATCTCTTGTTCATTTCGCCATTCTCACCACCTTCTCTTTTTGCAGGGTCTAAATCTTCTCGTAACACTCCTACCAAGGGCGCCAGTAAGAAGCGATCAGCCGCCTCGGCAGTTTCTAAAGAACAGAAAGGTGAGAAACCTGCCACATCCAAACCTGACAAACCTGACACGTGGATCCGAGTGGAGTGTTTTAAAAATGAGTTAGCATCAGAGTTCTTTGCAATATTTCGGGAGGCAAGGGGAGCACACATATCTCTGACACGGGGAAGTCACACCGTCAGGCCACCGCAACCCACCACCGCCTCCATCCACCGCAGTCCATGGACTCAAACGCCGACGCCACCAAACTTGACCGTATCATCCACCACCTCACTAATGTCGGCCACCACCGGGCCCATCATCTATTTCTGTTTTTCTCAGACTTGTGACGCCAATCAAGTTAAGTTTGACCTTCAATCTTGGCTGCACAACCTCGATTCGCGCTCAGAGACCTCTTTTCGAATAGGCGAGACCCTGATTAAAATGAAAGTGAACGAGTCTTTGACAACGGGCGGTGGGTTTAGACGGTGAATCTATGCAGCGGCAGTCTCTGCAGGTGTATGTAAAGAAGACAGGGTGGAAGAAGAAGAAGAAGAAGGAAAATAGGGAAAGAATAAAATGAAAGTGAAAACACGTGACATGGAAAAAGGAAACAAGAAATGGGATGACGATCCACGTCTATCGGCGGCGTCCCAAGTCAGCCAAAAGCATTTCTTTGACAAGCGGCTTAATTTAATGGAAAGATCACATTAAATACATTTTGAAAAGTTCAATGACTAAATTAAACGAATAAAAATTAGAAATAACATTAAATTATAAGAACAATTGGGGGAACGCCTGTGGCATTACCACAAAAACTTACTAAAATTTGTGTATCAAGTATAATTGTAAGCTACGATCTGACCAAAAAAAAAAAGCTAAGTTTTAGTAAAAAGAATTTAGTACATGCAATATTGTTCTTTTTACTCAGCAACTTTTATTGCTCAACGAGAGCTCACGGTAGTGCTTGATTTCCTGTTGGCGAGTTACAGATAAAAAAATTAGGATAAGTGCACTAAAAGTCCTAAAACTCATCGCGAAAATGCAATTGAGTCTTAAAATTTTCAGAAAATGCAATTAAGTCTTAAAATTTGTCAAATTGATACAATCAGGTATTTCCGTTAACTCCGTTCAATTTGACTAACAAAAAATATTGATGTGGCTTTTTTTTTATTTCTCTCATCTACACGGCGCTGACTTGGTTAAAACGACGTTGTTTTGCTGAAAATTTGATTTTTAACAAAAATTTAATTTAAATTATATTAAAAATAAGTAAAATTCAAAAATAAATAAAAAAATATAATTAAAAGAGGAAGAAGCAAGTGAGGGCTTGCGGTCCTTGTTGCCGCTGTCGCCCCACTATCCCTGAGCCAGTGATGGTGGGGGAAGGGTCGGTTACCCTTGCTCAGGTCTAGTTGAGGGCTGCCATTGCGTACGATCGGTAGGGGTCACCAGGCCCCGGCCATCGCTGGCCCGGCGATGATGGGGCCGTGGCGGTGGCCTGCTTCTTTCTCTTTTTTTTTTTTTTTCATTTTTGTATTTTTTTTAAAGGCATAAGTGTATCGGAAGTCCTAAAACTTGTCATGATAGTGTATTTGAATCTTAAAACTTTCAAAAAGTGCAATCAAGTCCTAAAACTTGTTACGAAAGTGAAATCGAGTCCTAAAACTTTCACAAAGTACATTTAACAGGAGGATTTGATTGGACCAATTTGACAAGTTTTAGAACTTATTTTCACTTTTTGAAAGTTTTAAAACTCGATTGCACTTTCGTGATAAGTTTTAGGACTTAATTACATTTTTTTTAAATATTAAGACTCAATTGCACTTTCGTAACAAGTTTTAGGACTTCCAGTGCACTTATCCCTTTTTTAAATTTTGCTTATTTTTTAATATAATTTAAAAAAATATTGAAAAATTAGATTTTGACCAAAGCAACGGCGTTTGAGGCTTATTTTTCATGTTTTAGCCACGTTATTATCACATAGGAAAGTGAAAATAATGATAATAAAAAGTCACGTCAGCATTTTCCGTTAACCAAGTTTGACGGAGTTAACGAAAGGATTTGAATGCACAAATTTGACAAGTTTTAGGACTTAATTGCACTTTTTGAAAGTTATAAAATTCAATTGCACCTTATGACAAGTTTTAGGACTTTTAGTGCTCTTATCCAAAAAAGTATACTTTTATTTGGCAAACAAAAAATATACTTTAAGAGGTAGCCATTACATACTTTTATTTATGTTTTTTAATTTATTTTTTAAGCTATTACATACTTAAAAAGGTCCTCTTTTGAAAATCCCAGTCACGCATCGGGATCAATTGCTGGTGGTTGCTGAAGGTAAGGGTAACGAGTTTAACGATGGTTATGGTTATGTGGCTATAATTGTTTTGCGGAAAATAAATTGTTTAAAAATATTTTTCATAAAAATGATTGCTTATATCACTTACAAAAATAAAAAAGATCGAAAAATATTTTATCGTCAATGAAAATGTTTAGACATAAATTGTTGTTGATAATAAAAATATTTTTCTTTAACTAATTATTTTAAATAATACAAACGATCATTTTCATGAATATTTTTTAAATCGTTCATTTTCCACGAAACAAACGGAGCCTTTATAGAAGGAACTTTTACTTGATTTATGATAATTGGATGTTGTGTGTAGCCATCAACTTGGAATATCTCATCGTAAAATAAACGTCACAAATTCTATAATGAAATTAAATAGACAAGTTAGTAATTCGGTATCTTCAAATAAATGGGGAACTTTGGTTAGCCACCGCACACAACCATCACGTGCCAATGTGACACGAGATCAATGCTTTTTCTTCGGTGGTCCAAGAAGAAAAGGTTGTTCAACAAAAAGAAAAGAAAAGAAAATAAAATGTCGTCATTTGAACTCCAATTTGGGTTTCGGCCAAAAAAAACACCAATTTGGGTGAATGACAAAAAAAAACAACCTCCAATTTGGGTGCACACTTGTTGCGGGTGACGTTAGCGTGCACGGAAGCGCCAATCGGAATGCAGAGCACCAAGACAGAAAGAGAGAGAGAGAGAGCGCCATCATTCGTTGGTAGTTGTTGATTTTGTTTGCACTAAATTGGCCCACAAATACTAGTAACTCCTCAGAGAAATTTTTGGGTGTACTTTAGTCTAAAAAGTATTTATTAATCTCACAAAAGGAACATTCGAATCCACATTAGGGTCCACCAAAAATATAATATTTTTTATATTGTGATCGGCCGTGTTCCTATCTCATTTGTAGAATTGATCTATCCATTTTTTTTGAGAAAATTTCAAAAATTCTCTCCAACTTTGATGAGATAGAAAGCCTTGAAGACATATATCGTCGCCTAGCTTTAATTCGCTTCGGATCAACCGATTCGAGTAGTCAAAGATGTCGGCTTCTCGATATATTATGGACTGAGTAATCGAAATAGTCAGATATGTGAGTCTCATCTAGCGTCCATGGGAATTAAGCATTCAAATCATTAAATGTCATGGACTGAGTTTAGACAAGAATTGAACCTTACAACGCTGTTCTCGCAAGTCATATATTACTTTGGACATTGACGCTATCGAGATGCGTCACTCTAGATCTCTCTTTTCATCAAGAAATTATGTAGTAAATCTCCATTTATCCCACTTTTGTGTCTCTTTACCCTCACTAGCAAGAAGTTCCGGTCAAAAAATGTCCACAATACGTATGCTTACCTAAAAATATTTACGAAACACTATCAATATCACCGTTCTCGCCTACATACAAGTTTGGGAACAAGACAAATACCCATTTTCGTACGAAATAACGACCTATTTCTATAGGTATCATTATCTTGTTCAGGGATTGATTCTACCCACCACTTGATCGCTAAAAGGGATCACTTATAATTCGTGACACACGATATAGAGTATAGACACGTAACAGTGACTCTTTTTAAAAGCACAATTAAGTTGGATAAAGTGTTGACATCCTCAGTATATTGACACAAATTGAGACACAATATAAGAGGATGATAAATGATTTGCACCTCTTGCATACTGGACACAATATAAGAGGATGACAGATGACAAATTGAGGCCAATTGTGTTAATGAGCCTCATTTAGAGTCCCCCAAATGTATGTAAGAAGTATGCCTAATTCAATAGAGTAGATGCATATTTACCATCACCCCCTCTCACTAAAAGAAAAAGAAAAATCAGATCCATGCTATAATCTGATTCTAACTTTGCTGCCTCATCGTGCGAGGCATGCACATTCTTGCACACGTATCTCAGTTTTTGCCCCACCCTGGCCCACAACACAATACATAAATATATGAGAGAGACATAACATAATAGATAAGTCGAAAATGAGGTCGTCGTCTAATCAGAATTCCAAAACACATCCTGGTCATAGAGTTGCTCAAATTCTGTCTCCTTCTCCGAACTTTCTCACAAGAGGGCTAAAAAAAACACGTTGCCCACCGTCAGATACGACCTGTCGCCTGACTTTTCAACGCCGGGATCTTATCAGACCAAATCCTATAAGTACCCGCCAAGCTCCATCATTTGTTTTTTTTTTTTTTATAATCGAGGTATCCCACGTGCAATGGACTATTCCTCCGAATGGTGGGGTATAAGACCAATATCACCGGGTAAGCCTCCATCATCAGTTTAACTATCTGAGGTCAGGAACTCTCAACCACTCGACCAATCACCCCATTGGTAGCTCCATAATTTGTTTGTGGCCACCAAATTTGAAATCCATCTTCTTAAAGTTTACCGAAAAAGCTGCCACACGGATCATCTTACTCTTCACTTCCTCATTTGATATTTAACTCACTTTGCCATGAAAGGATGTTCTTCAAGAGGGAATCGGCACAATGAGAATGACGAAGAAACGGGGAAGAAGAAGGGATCGTGGTCGCGATGCGATCCACCTCGGTACCGAGGGATCCGGCGGCGCCCTTGGGGCAAGTTCGCAGCTGAGATCCGGGACCCCTCGAGGAACGGCGCTCGCCTTTGGCTCGGGACCTTTGAGACGGCAGAGGAGGCCGCCCGCGCCTACGACCGGGCTGCCTTCGCCTTCCGAGGCCATCTGGCCATCCTCAACTTCCCCAACGAGCAACAATACTCCGTTCAAAATGACTGCAATGTCTTTGGCCACCGCAGTTCTTTCTCGGCGTCCCCGTCGCTGTCATCATCGTCGTTCTCTTCAGCATGTTCGTCATCATCCACTGTGTCAGCTCCCGTCGAGCCGTCCAGAGATTTGATCGAGTTCGAGTATCTGGACGATGAGTTGTTGGAGGAACTACTGATGTAGGGTAAATGCGGGAAGGCGAGTGCATATTTAGTTTTTCTGAAATTTCATGGATAGAATATTTTTTTGTTTCTTGTTTCGATCATCTTCATTGGTGAGAGTTTTCACTTGTGGAAAGAGATGGCGTGGCATCTCCTTTGCAGGGTTTATGCATATTATGCTTGAATTAATTACTTTTGGCAATCTTCAAGACTGCATTTTCACAGCAGGGGCTTAATGTGACTCGGAAATATTGTAATTTGTATGATAACTTCGATCAATATTAGCAAAACAAATGGCTCATCATACCTATATCTTTCTAAAGTACTTCTCTGAGTACTTGCACTCAATTTAAGCAGTAGTATTCATACAAACACAGATTTCTGGGATACTAAAGTTCTTTCATTTCAATAAACTGTTGCAATATATCTTAGGTTTCTAATGTTAATTACCAATAGACAGTTTCTAAAATCGTTTCGTAGTAATCTATTCTGGAAGAGCTTCTCTGTATTTGAGGACAGCTTGATGTAAAACCAGGCTGAGCTAAGATTTTGCAGCTTTGACGTGCAACTATTTGTTTTGTAGCGATTTGGGTGCTCTGAAGCTGAAACAGAACTTTAGTGTTTTCCAATTTTGGCTGCCTTGAGTTGAATGTGACCCGCCTTTCCTTTTTCTTTCCATTAAACATGGTTGCGTGTCCGGGCCCGCCTACATAATTAATCTCTTCATGTCACGACACTCATACTATGAGTTATCTTGTTTGTGGTCGCTCCCGTGTCCTCACGTTTGAGAGAGATGAGTAGGCGAAGAGAGGGGGGCCGTGACACAAAACGGTGGGGATGAAGGGAGAGACAAGCTCGACCAGGGGTGGGTGTCGGCGATGAGGTGTAGCTCGGGTTGGCTTGGATTTGCTTAGGGTTTTGGTTTGGTGATGTTTTGTGGCGGATGGGTTTGGAAGGTTGGTATGGTGTAAATTTGGAAGGAAAATGACATATTACCAAATTGGAGAAGCAACTTGAAAAGAGATCCCAAAAGTCAGAATAGTTTTTGTAGGTTTTGAAAATTAAGGAGGGTTTTGATCTTTGTGAGCAAAAGTGACGTGGGTTTTTGAAGTTTCCCAACTAATCAAAGTACCCGTCTAACCCCATGGAATGAGCTGAATTCGCACTAAACCGGGGTGACCTAGCCTATACTTGAAATTTTCTAATCGAAATGATTCATATCCTAATAGGATACGAAATCGAAATAAATCGAATCAAAATTAGTTAAATTTGTAAGTTAAATTTCATGTGATAAACAACAGAAATTGGCAAGTAAAGGATATTCCAGATCCTCAATAGTCAAAAGAAAATTACCACAATATTTACACAAGGAATTATTTTCTCAACGTTGTAGAGATTACATCGAGCAAAATATAATAGGAGATATACTTTGGTTAGCCTTTCGATATATTAGAAAGGGAAAAAACTACCAAAAAGTCAAAAGTGTGGCCCCTGTGATACATTTTTTCCCAAACTTTTTTTTCCTGTGACATTAAAAATCTCAAATTGTGTACATGTGTGATGTATTTACCTTCCGTTAATATTCCCTCAATGAACAATGTTAAAAATCTACCTACATGAATGCTGGAAAGCAAACGGTAAGCAAACGATGTTGACATGGCGCCCACTCGGCTTAAGTGAAATAAAAACGACGTTTGTTTTGACTAAAGAATCATTTGACAAAATATTAACGGAGGGTAAATATATCACATAGATACAAGTTTGAAGTTTTTTATATCACAAGAAAAAGTTTAGTGTGTTAGAGCATGCATACTTTGGAGCTTTTGATGTTACAAAAAAAGTTTATGGTAAATGAGTTACAGTAGACATAATTTGACATTTTTTTATGACTTTTTCTCAATTAATAAATATATGAACTCTTTAATATGTATATGTATGGATAAGTGAATAATGCTGGCCGTGGGGTAGCTTAGTTTTGATACAGCGACAGAGAGAGACAATGATTGCATCACGTCCCCGAGTGCCACATCATGAGTGATGAGCAATCGCGTTGGGCCTAATTCCAAAAATAAACATCATCTTTATCTCGAGTGACAATTTTGGCCCGAACTTTTTTTTTATCTCATAAAAAATCACCAATTTTTACTCTGGTCCCAAATCTGCCATACTTCTTCCGGTTTCTACCTTCCCCCATAAGAATGAGGTACGAGATTTTCAGATCGGGAATCTCTTGTTAGTGTCCTACATTCCTACCAAATATGAGTTCTTTTTTTGGATGAATTTGTTTTTCTGCTATTAACATTATTTTTTTTCTAACAAAATTAGACTGCCCTAATGTCTATAAGAAAAAACAAACGATATTTTCCTAGTAGCTATATAAATTCTGAGCATATTTGATTTTGTTCCCTTACTTCTTGAAGTGTGACACCACTAAATTCTTTAAACAGCATACTTATAGAACTTAACAATCCAAATTAATCTCAACAAAAAATCCAAACTTTCGATCTACTCGGCTTGTAAATGCTTAGAAGAAACAAATTATACTTGTTCCTTCTTAATTGACTTTTTTTCTACATTTGCGTGCATATTTACGTGCATGCTTTTTTTTTTTTCGCTTGCAAAGGATTCAAGAAAAGTTGATTTGGTTCATTTTTTGAAAATTGAATTTAAATTATTGCTGGATGAGGAAGATATAGTTTTAGTGTAGATTATATAACAGATTTTGAGACACGGTGACATTAATATTCACCCATTCTATATATTAGGGAAAATTTATAAAAAAAAGTTAAACCTATTGCAATTATGCTAATTTAGTCTTAAATCTTTTTTTTTGCTAATTGAGTCCAAAACCTTTTTTCATTTGTGCCAATTCAATCTATCTAGCCAATTTTGGCCAGTTGACATTGACATGGACGCCGTTATCCTACTTGGTACAGCCGGTGCTGGCATGGACAAATTTTAATAATATTATAATATTCTTTTGAAATTTTTATTTATTTTTTCCTTTTTTCATACTTTTTCTTTTTTTTTTCTTTCCTTCTTCCTCAGGTTGATGAGGTCGAGCTCGCCTAGTCATGGTGAAGCTCAACCTCACTAGGGGCGGGCGAGACTCGTCTTTGCTAGTGGCCTGCAAGGTCAACCTCACCGGCCAAAGGAAGAAGGAAACAAAAAAAAAAGAGAAAGAAAAAAATTTCGAAAAAATATTAAAATAATATTAAAAATTATCCACGTTAGCACTGGTCATGCCACGTAGGATGGCCAGCGTCCATGTCAGTGCTGGCCGGCCAAAATTGCTTGGATATATTGAATTGACACAAATACAAAATGTTTGACTTAATTAGCCAAAAAGAAATGTTTTACTATTGTTATTCAACTGGTCATTGGCATGCAATTATAGGGTTCTTTGGCAAAGTTTCCAGTTGAAGGGTGCTTTGGTTTGCTTTATAATATAGAGAGATGAGATTATCTCATGATTGACTTGGTCAAATTTGAATAATGATCCATTTTCGATACGAAAGGGGTGAGCATTGGTTCAAGGTAAGTCCTGGAATCAAACCTAATTGACCCTACCTAGCCAGTTTTGGTCTGGTTCCAAAATTTGGAATTGGCTATACCAGTCTGGTTCCCAAGTTTAGGCGTGGAACAAAACCGAATTGAGAAACCTTACTGAGAAACCCTAATTCACTTCTTTTAATTTTACCATGCATCTTGTATACATATTGTTGCCATCTACTTCTTGTAAATAAGGGGATGTTTTACTAAATTTTGTATTGAATAAAAAATGCAACAAAAAAAAAAAGGAATTGGCCGATTACTAAGCAGACCCTATAACCAGACCGAACCGACGGGGCCAATTTTGAGGTTTACAGGGTAAGTTACAATTTCCAAAATTTAGGAACCAGTCTCATTAAGATATGTTCCAAGTTCCTGGTCAGCAACCTACCTTACCCAGAACCGCTAACCTCTAGCAAAGAGGATCATGGACCAAATCAAATATAAGTAAAAGTATGAGGACTAAAATTTCAATTTGTAATAATCGAGAGGCAAATTGCAAATATTATCCAACTTTAGGATCATGGATATAATTATTCTTCGTAAAATTTGTATTTCACATTTTCTTTGTTTCCCCCACTAGCACAAAGTTCTCGCTCAAAAACTGTCCATAATACATATATCCATTTTTTTTATACAAAAATTCTCGGGATCAAGATACATGCTCATTTTCATTCTAAATAACTACCTTTTTATATGTATAGCATGGACCCGTCCTATCGTGGCATTGATCATGTGAGCCAACTGTGATTACATCGAATTCAAGGATACGCAGAGAAATGAGTCCCACGTGTCATTACATATGGAAGAAACTTGGGAGATTACAAAAACAAGTTCTAAACCTATTACAATTTTGCAAATCAATCTTAATTTTTTTTTTGCCAATTAAGTTCTAAACCTTTTGCATTTGTGCCAATTTAGTCCATCAAACTAATTTGGCCGAAAATTGCTGACATGGACACCGGCTGTCCTACATGACGCGGTTGGTATTGATGTTGATATTTTTAAATAATATTTTAATAAATTTTCAAAAATTTTTTATTTATATTTATTTTTCCTTTTTTTTTTCTTTCCTTGTATTACTTCCCTTCTTCCTCTAGCTGATCGATGAGGTCCAGCAACCGGTTAGAGGCGAGGGCTGGCGAGGTCAACATCGCTGGCCACTGGCGAGGGCGAGCCTCGCCCTATTGCTGGGCGAGGCTCGACCTTGCCAAATTCGGTCGCTTGAGCTCTGAGCTCGATTGTAGCTACCAGAGCTCCAACTTGTTGGCCATAGGCACTCTAGCTTCTCATTTGCGACCATGGCTGCTAGATCGCCGAGAGCTTTGAGCTCACGGATAAGGACACTCCCTCCCTCATTCGCGAATCTCTAGCTCCTCTCACTCACGACCAAAAATCGACTGAATTGATTGAGCCAAACCCTGACACCACGGCCATGGAAGTGCCTTGCCTCAAGCAACCACAAATTTGTGGCCCTCTCGCCTTTGGCCGGTCACTGGACCTTCGGCGACTAGCTAGAGGAAGAAGAGAAGAGAAAAAAATGA